GACAGAGTGACAGATGAGTGGTGGGTGCCTTGTATTAGTGCCCTTATATTTGTCCCTGTTTTTTCATTAATGACCTTTATAATTCTGGGAGTCACGTTTAGGTCTTTAATCCATGCTGAGTTGGTTTTTGTATATGGTGTGAGGTAAAGGTTTTGGTTAAATGTTTAAAGATGATCTCAGGACAAAAGTTTTGGGGATTCATCCAGTCTCCATGGCTGCAGAAAGTCTGAATTCTAAGTGTGGTTTTCGCTTTGGGGCATTGTCTTCTGAGCTCTGTAGGATAAACACTGGACTGCAAACCACACGGTCTGTGGTTTGAGCCCATCAGCTGCTCTGTGGGAGCAAGATGAGGCTTTCTCCTTCCTCAGAGATTTACAACCTTGGAATCCCATACAGGTTGCTATGAGTTGGAACCAACTTCATGGCACTTAACAACCATATGAAGGTTAGATCTCCTGAAGGCATGTGTTGTACAGATGATTTTGAAATAAAAAATTTTAATACTTAATTATCCCTATTGCCTGTGTTGTTTGTCTTCCGCTGTCTTTTCTAATGTGTTTTTGTTTTTATTTGTAGACATTAAAATACATATCAAAAACTCCCTGCAGACTTCAGAGTCCAGAGATTGTCAGAGAATTCCTCACAGCCATGAAAAGCCACAAGTTGACCAAGTAAGTGACGGATGCATGACGTAGGACGAGAGTGGGAGCTGAGAACAGCCATTCTGTTTCCATTGGATGTCACCTTTCTATGGAACACACGGTGCTCTCTTTAAAGAGGGCGATGGGATTGCTGCCATTGTTTAGAAGAGACAACTGAGTTATAGGTGTGGGGACCCTTCCAAAGCCAAGGACAGAACCTGGTGGTTTCTTGGTTTGTTTTTCTTAATCTCTTGGGTCTTGTCTTGGAGTCCTGTGTCAAATGACCTAGCTCAGCACTCAGACCAAATTGGTTGAAAAGTTGGGTTCACAAATGAAAGTGTGTTTCATAAAGCTAGTCACTGAAAAGTCATCTGACATTCGTGTGTGCTTGGAGCCAAAGTGGTGTGAAAGTATCTTGTCTGTTCTGCTAGTGCCTGCTTACTTCACTTGGCAACTTTTTAAGTGAGTTGTGTGTGTAAAAATTAGAGACATCGTTAAGCATTGTATCAGAAGTTTACACAAGAAGAAAACCAGCCAGTCTTTTAGAATTAATACCAGACCTGAAAACTCCAAAAGATTGCTGGTATTTCATTCTAGGTAAGCAATGGTTTTCTATTAGAGGAACTATTCATTTGGTGTCATTTTAGGCGCATGGTTGACACAATTAATAAACTGTATGCACTTTACCTTTGACCTTTGTCCTCCAAATGTGTGAATATGTCTTTTTGAGGTAAGATTCTATACTTGCTGCCAAAAGTCATTCTTGTTCTTTGATATGTTCGAAGCTTCAAGAGGACTCACTGAGAATATCAGGTGGGATCCTGTAAAGATCTTCCGTATAGGAAGCCAGGATAGCAGTCCGAACCCAGGGAACTTAACATCTCCATTGTTTGCTGTGTGGTTTTAAAATATTTTCTCCAGTCAATGGTTTATGCTTTCATTGTCTTAACAGTGCCTTTCTCAGAGCAGACGTCTTTAATTTTGATTAAACTAAATCAGATTCTTAATTTAAATTACACTTTTGGTGATATAAACAAGGCCAAAAGGCCTAACCCAAGGCCAAAAGACTTGTCTCTGGCGTTTTCTTTCAGAAGTTTGATAGTTTTATGTTTTACATTTAAGTCTTTGATCAATTATGAATTAATATTTAGGGCATGGTACAAAGTGTGGGTTGAATGAAGGTTTTTTTCGTTGTTTTTTTCCCGGCAATGTTGTAGAGATGTTAAACTGTTCTAGTACCACTTGATGATAAAACTGTCTTACTCCATTGGATTGCCTTTGTTGTTGGTTTGTTTTTAGAACATCAGTTTGCTGTATTTCCTCATTTTATTTTCTGTTCCATTGATCTATTTGTTTATCCTTTTGCCAGTACCATACTGTCTTGATCTTTATAGCTGTATCGTAAGTGTTGTGGGAGAAAGGTGAGACTGTCTGCTCCCACAAAGATTTATTGCCTTAGAAACCCTGTAGAGGGTCGCTATGAGTCAGCACTGACTCAACAGCACTTAACAACAATAACAGCATAGTAAGTGGGAGCTCAGTGGCTCCATATGATAAGCACTGGGCTGTGACCCACAAAGTCAGTGGTTCAAGCCTGCCAGCTGTTCCATGGCAGAAAGGTGAGACTTTCTGCTCCCATGAAGATTTAAAGCCTCAGAAACCTTATACAGTGTTGCTATGAGTCGGAACCAATTTGGCGCTTGGAATAGCATAGTAAACGTTGAAATTAGATAATGTGTGCTCTTTAGCTTTGGGTGTGTGTGTGTGTGTTTTGTTTCGTTTGCCATGTACAGTCCAGATACAGGTAACATTTTACCATGTTAAATAAAGTCTATAAATCTTGCAATATAGTCTGTCTTTCTCTCTCCTGCAAACCACAAGGTCGGTAGTTCAAACCCACCAGCCACTCCTCAGAAATCCTATACAGGGTTGCTATGAGTCAGAACTGACTTGAAGGTGCTTAACCCTCTCCTTTATATGCATGGCGGTGGTAGTGTGCCACTGAATCGGTTCTGACTTATAGCGACCCTGTATAGTGTTTCCGAGGCTGTAAATCTTTACAAGAGCAGAAAACCTCATCTTTCTCCCGAGGAGCGACATAGATTTGAACTGCTGACCTTGTGGTTAGCAGCCCGACTCGTAGTCCACTATGCTACCAGGGCTTCTTTTATACGTTATAGTTGTCATAGTCACCATGTCTCTATACATTAAGGACTCCTGGTGTGGCTCTGTATAATAAGTATTGGACTGCTAACTACGAGGTGGCAGTTCAGACTCTCTAGCCACTCCTTGGAAATCCTACACAGGGTCACTCTAAATTGGAACTGACTGGATGACACGTAACAACAGTATACATTGAAAATACTATTTAATGGCTTTTTAACTTCCAGTGTTCTTAACACATTTTAAAGAATCTAAAAGGAGCTCTGGTAGCGTACTGGTTACGAATCGGGCTGCGAACCTTAAGGTCAGCAGTTCGAAACTACCAGCCGCTCTGCAGGAGAAAGATGAGGCTTTCTACTCCCGTAAAGATTTACACCCTCGGAAACCCTGTACAGGGTCGCTATGAGTCGGAACCGACTCGACGGCACATTACAACAACAACTACTATAACAAAAATACCACAAGGGGGTCCCTTTAACAAACACATTTATTTTCTTACAGTTTAGGAATCTAGAAGTTTGAATCCAGGGTTCTGGCTTTAGAGGGAAGGCTTTCTCCTGTCTCTGGAGTAAGGACCATGTTCTCTTCAGCTTGTGTTTCTTGCTGTGTGGCTTGGTATCTGTGGTCCCATCTTGTCCTCTTTAATCTGCTCCTATTATAGGTTGTAAGAGATTTACACAAGACACACCCCACGCCAGTCTTGCTTCATTAAATATCAAAGACAACAGGGTGTTAATGGGCTTATAACCACAAGTATGCAGGTTAGGATTACAAGGCATGGATTTATTTGGGGGACACAGTTCATTGACTTTCAGGCTGCTCTTGAGATTTATTTCTTATCTTTGGTTTTCAACAGTTTGATCATGATGTTTTTAAGTCCTTTTTTGGTCTTTGTTATTGGAATTTGTCATATTTGAGGTTAGCTGAGTTTCTTGAGTATTAAAATTTATGTTTCTTACCAAATTTGTTAAATTTTCAGCCGCTTTTTTTCTGTCTCAATCTTTCTTTTCTTCTTGAACTCCAAAGACATCATAGTTAAACTTTGTATACTGTTCCACAGAGCCCTGAGGCTCAGTTCTTGTTTAATTTAAATTCTTTATCTCTTGTCCACTAGGGTCATGCCAATTGATCTGTCTGTAGATTAAGACACTTACCTTTGACCTTTCCACTCTGCTGTTAAACTCATGTTGTGAAGTTTCCATTTCAGTTGCTGTATTTTTCTGTTCTAAAATTTCTCCTTTGAAAAAAAAACTCTGTTTCTCTTCTGATATTCATTATTCCATTCATTTCAAGAATGTCTACTTTTACCCTATGTTGCAACATCTGGGTCATCATGGGTTTGACATCTGTTGTTTATCTTTTCCCTTGAGAATGAGTCATATTGTCCGATTGAGGTAATTTTAGATGGCATCCTGGACATTTTGAACTGTATATCACTTAGACTTTGGGTCCTGCTAAAATCCTCTGGTTAATGTTGATTTTTTTTGGCTTTCACAGATACTCAACCTAGTTTGGGTCAGAGCGCAAGTCTGTCTTGCCTTCTTGGGGTGAAGACTTCGGTGTTAATTTCATTTGAGCCTTTGCTCTTCTACTTTGTGTCCTTTTTGTGGATTTGATTGGCCTGATGACCCAGAAGGTTACTTGCCAAACACCATGAAGATGTGCATATGTAGTATTAGCCCATGTGAACTGCTGAGGTGAATTAACTTGTTCCCTTCTCAGCATCTTTGTCCTTTTGTTTTGGGTTATTTCTGTGCATTGATCGCTCAAGGTGAACCCAGGCTCTGTTCTGATTTGTATATAGATTTAGGGGTCCCCTTCTCCAGCTGTCTCTCCTCTGGAATCCCTCTCTGTACATGCTATGCACAGGAGTCACAGATACTGGGCTTCTCTCAATAGTTAATTGTCCATGTATGTAGTTGTTTCTGGAACCACCCTTGAGGCAAAGCAGAGAGAGGAGGGAACAAAGAAAAAGGGCCTTACCTAGGACGTTTTGGACCGCTGGGGCTACGTTCCTTTGTTCCTCTGGACAGAAAGAGTCATCGCTTCTAGAAACTACTAGACTCCAGGAGGACTTGCCCTGAGTTGTGAGAGACAAGGAGAAGAAAGTAGATTTACCAGGGCTTCCAAATTTCAGCAACTTATTTTCTGGATCTTCTGGCCAGGAAGATGGTGATTGTCTCTGCTGCAACAGCCCTGTGGAGGCCGTGAGAGAAGAGGGGAGAAACCAGGAAACTCACTTCGCCAACCCCAGCTGGTCCTTTCTACCAGATTTGTCTCCCTGCCTGCCTAGTCCACCGAGGTTTGCTCACTTCAGGAGTGGTTCATCCCTGGTCTTCCTCTGTCTCTGGCTGCCACACGCCTGGTCTCCAAGATGTCCAGGCTCTGGCACCTTCTCCCGATCATGCTGCCCAGATTAATTAGATCATGCTGCCTGGATTAATTATCTACATTGAAAGCAGACCATAATATTCAGAGCTTCCCTTCTCCATTCATGATCCCAAATATGAAGAATTATGACTTCCTTTGTGACAGTTTACTGTCTACATTTCATAGATTTTTACATAGATTATCCATGGTCCCAGGGGTCCTTTAGCACTTGACTACTAGCTGAGAGGTTGACTGTGTGAACCCACTCACCCAGTGGTGCTTCAGAGCTAGGCCTGATGATAAGCTTCTGAAAGCTGGGAAAACCCGATCTATGGTTTTCAGTTCTAGTTGTGCACACGGGGTGTTGTAATTAACAGCGTCGAATTAGTTCTGACTCATAGCGACCCTTAGTAGGATATCCGAGGAGCAGCTGATTAGTTTGAACCACCACCTTGCATTTCAAACTGACCCTGAAGTCCAGTGCTTTCCTTCAGTGCTAACTAGGACTCTGCACACATGGGATAGGAACTACCAACAGCTAATCCTTAAATCCATGATTTGGCCTGGAGTTAAAGCTTCAGGCACTGTTGTTCTTCAGACAGCCAGTAGGGGGAGTGGTCAGACTTCGCTCACTGTCCGGCCTTGGAGGTAGCTGACCCATCAGCCCAGTGGAATTCCTGTGGCTTCAGTGCCTGATGACCCAGAAGCTTACTTGCCAAATGCCGGCAAGATTTGGACCATCCAGTAGTAACTGATGGATGGGCCTTCAAGTGATGAATCACATTGATTACGGGAACTGCGGAGGAACTCTCTAATCCCTGTGCTGCATATCCCCTGGTAGGGGTGTTCCTCTGTCGTTCTCTCAAGGACAGGAGATTCCAAATAGTAGTTCTTATCTACGTCTGACTGGTGCTCCCATTACTTCAGTTATAGACCTCCTCTGCTAGAGTCGTGGAGGACCGGCGGTGGTGGTGAAGTCGAGTTGGTTCTGACTCTTGGTGACCTTGTGTGTACAACAGGATGAAACACTGCCCAGTCCTGTGCCAGCCTCACTTCTCTATACTCCCCAGAGCATGTGGCGCTTAGTCAGTTTAAGGTTTTTGCCTGACGCATTTCGTTCTCAAGACCCTGCGCCCTGGCTTGCAGTCCTGAGCTCTCCTCCCTGAATTGCACAGCCCTTCTGCCAGGAATCCAGTGAGCGCTGACTTGCTGTCCAGTCCTAAGACCAGCTTAGGGGGAGGCCCGTATGTAACAGGGACTTGGAGTGCCCCGGGAGTACTTCCTGTGCACCATATGTGAGACATGTACCTCGGAACCAGCAGAGCTCAGGGTAGATGGGTTGTCAGGTTTCCCTTGTCTCAGAGGTTTGGTTACCCAGTGCATTTCAGGGCCTGGACTCCTGTCCTGTGCCTCCCCAGAGTTCTCCAGTTCTCTCTCCATTGGCTTCTGTAAGTGCTGTGCTAGTTGGGGCACAGTGAAGAGGCACTGAGGTGTCCGAATGGAGTGCATCATCCTGTCTACTGGGGGTGACATGGTTTGAATATAAAGGAAGAGGCAGGTGAGGAAGTCCTTGCTAAGTAGAGGGAGGACCATGAGCTAAGTACAGGGAGGATCATGAGCTAAGTAGAGGGAGGACTATGAGCTAAGTAGAGGGAGGATCATGAGCTAAACAGAGGGAGGACCATGAGCTAAGCCCAGAAGCAGGAAGAAGCCCGCTGCTTTCTTGAGAGGAGGGTGTGCAGTTTGACTGGATCGGGATATGAGTTGCTTATGCATGTGATTCCAGAGACTGACAAAGGACTTGGGACCTGAGGATTCAGGTAAGGAGGGTCATGTTCACACCGCCATTTATCAGGACAGTAAAAGGATTACAAGCCGAATGATGAGATAGCCAAACGTTCACTTTTTTAATAGGTAATTTGTTTGTCAGGGAATCCCTGGGTGTTGCATACAGTTGACACACTGGGAGGCTAATGGAAAGGTTGGAGGTTTGAATCCATCCAGAGGCATATTAGAAGATGCTCTGCCTCCAAAAAAAAGTCAGCCATTGAAAACTCTGTAAGAGTACAGTTCTATTCGGAGATACTTGCAGTCTACTTGATGACCACTGGTGTGCTGGTTTTGTTTGTAAGAGTAAAGATAGGTTGAAAAAATAGTAGAACTCAGAGGATGGAGGCCATTGTCCTCCAACCAAAGATCGAAGGAAGGAATGGTGAGGAGGGGACAGATAGAGTTACAGGATGCCCTCAGTATCACCTGGTGATGAGTGTGGGCCATAGATGAAGAGGGGGTTGTTGAGGGTGACGCACAGGTCTCTGTCTGGGCATTTGGCCAAGATGAACAGCAAGGACAGCACAGGCCGCTGTTGCGTTGGGCAGGATGATAAGGTGACTGGGATGTGTTGAATTTCAAGTGTGTCTAAGATGTCTGGTAGGTAGTTAGATGCAAAGGTCTGGAGGTGAGCTCTGGTCTCTAAGGAAAACAGATTCTTGGTTGAAACCAAGCAATTAAACTTGTGAGACTGGGATGAGGAGCTCAGAAAGAACGACAGAAGGTGGCACCTTGGGAATGCTGCAGCAACAAGCTAAAGAGAAAACGCAGAAAGAGATGAAGAAGGGATAGTCAGAATCTGGAAGCTGAGAAAGTGGATAGTTTCAAGGTCAGAATGTCAGCTCCCACACAGCTGTGGAAGAGTAGGACAGCGAAGCCTCCACTGTCAACATAGAGATGACTGGGCTCCTTCCTAAGGGCAGTTTTGGTGGTCACTGGGGCAGGAGCTGAAGTGAAGCGGATTATCGAGGGGAGAAAGTAGAGACAATAGGCATAGACTTGGTTGTCAAGCCAGGGCAAATGTTGTGGTCCCCCCTCCTACCATCCCTTCATCTCACCACCAAGATGAGCGCATGCCTTGGCGATACATGTGGTTCTGAAAACCCTGGGTGTGGAGTGGAGTAGAGAAAACTTGCTTGCTTGATTTGACCTAGGACTGGTTTTTTGGAGAGCAGTTATGAAGGTTTTTCGTTACTAGAAGACATACAAGATCCTGTTTGGAATGAAGGAACATCTCCCGCTGTTCGTTGTGAGCAGAATGATGACTGTTTGATGAACTGGGTTCTGCTCCTTTGACGTATGGGTAGCTGAGGAGTTCATTTATCATCTGTCAGCTATTCCTGTGGGATTCATGCTGTTGGATGATAATGGTTTTTTAAAAAAATTATGTAATTTGTTTGAGTGATGGTTCATATTTCTGACTCGGTAAGGCTTTCCAAACTGCTTGCTGATCTTATTAATGCTGGCCTGTGTTAATCCTTCTCTTCAGCTTCTGGTCTTTCTTGTGGTTAGATGGCATTGAGTCAATTCCGACTTACAGTGATCCTGCGTACAACAGAAATTGAAACAGTACCTAGGCTTGCCCCATGCTCACAGTCATCACTGTTTGAACCCATTGTTACAGCAGCTGTGTTAATTCATCTCATTGAGGGTCTTTCTATTTTTCACTGACCCTCTATTTACTAAGCATGGTGTCCCTCTCCAGGGACTGGTCCCTCCTGATAACATGTCTGAAGCATGTGAGATGAAGTTGTGCTAACCTTACTTCTGAGGAGTGTTCTTCTGGCAGTCCATGGTATATTCAGTATTCCTTACCAACACCGTAATTCAAAGGCATCAGTTCTCTGGTCTTCCTGATTCATTGTCCAGCTTTCACATGCATAGAAGGTGATTGAAAACATCTTGGCTTGGGTCAGGTGTACCTTAGTCCTCAAAGTGACATCTTTGCTTCTTCTTTATACTTTAAGTCTTATCCCTGCTCACATCCAGGCCACCTGCCTCTTCGGTGGTAATTTCACTTCTTCAACTGGTCGTTGTGACTTACTAATCTTTTTATTGCAGAATGTCTTATGAACTCAGGAAATGTTTCTTGACTTGAGCTGAAAGATGGGTTTGGAGCTTCAGAGTCAGAGAGAGAGGGTTTTCAAAATCGGTATCTGCTCAATGGTGGTGGTTGAGCTGTTCTTTTTATGACTTTATTTTACTGTGGTGAAAATTACATAACAAAGAATGTGCTATCACAACCGTTTCTGCACGTATAGGCTGTGACATTGGCGGCACTCCTTATGTTGTACAACCCTCTCACCACCTTCAAATTCAACCCCTCCAAATTCATTCCCCACCCTCAACAGACAGCACCACCCCCAGCCAGGCCTCCTTCTTTCCCCTGTATTCTCATTCCCAGCTATGAACCATTTTGTGTTGTTAAGTGCCATCAAATTGGTTCCTACCCATAGGAACCCTGTATAAGGTTTCAAACCAACTTTGTAGTCCAGTGCATTAACCCATAGTGTCACACGTTTTGGTCTGTGTATATTTGCCCATTTCATCTAAGTGGAATCATACATTTGTTCTCTTATGAGGAAATTAGTATCTTAAATTCTTTCATAAGCCTCTTTAGCATGTTTTTGTCATCTTTCCCTAACTGGATTGTAAGATTTTTGAGGGCAGAGGGCTGTGCCTTATTCTCTGGTGGATTTGCTAACCAAAATCTTGGTAGTTCAAACCCACCAGCTGCTACTCGGAAACCGTATATAGGCTTGCTGTGAGTCAGAAGCGACTTGACAACACTTACCAAGAACAAGCTAACAAGTCAGATCTGGGTAACATTTTGCAAAGAGAAATTCTAGCTACTGATCCACCACACCCAAGACGATTTTGTTAACCTTTACTTTCTATGGTTTGTATTAAGAAAACCTTCTTTTCTTCACTATATTCAAATAGAAATGATTGTGTTGAGTGTACCCTTTCAAACTTTATCTCTACTGCACCCTTACAAACCAGGCCTCTGTACCCGCTAGGATTCCAATGCAACATCCTTAACTTTAGGAAAGAGCCACTGACATCACCTCGCCTTTCATGGTCAGAGAACTGAAGGCATGGTACAAGTGGTTTCCCTTCCCGCTTTTTAAACTGCTCTGGTGACGACACATTCTCCCATTTTTTTATCTGACAAAGTAAGTCTTTAAAAAGAGTTTGTTCAAGACTCAAAATCTTTCAGGGCATGAGACATTTAAGTGTTTTGTACTTTTCTTTTGACAGAGCTGAAAAACTGCAGCTGCTGAATCACAGACCTATGACTGCTGTTGAGATCCAGCTGGTAAGTAAAGAGGAGCCCTGCGTTTGAGGGGGTCTTTTGGGTCAGATATGTAGAAAGGGTGCTAGAGAATGAACCAGCCAAAACTGCCATTTCTTGGAGAGGCTGCCCATCCACCCCAGTCTATAACTAGAACAACTCATCTAGCTAGAATGATGCTAGTTAGTATGAAGTTAGGAAACTGTTTGAAGCCCCGTGTATTTGTCCTTTTGCAACTGACTGACTTTGCTCAGCATAATGTCTCCAAGCTCCAGCCGTGTTGTCATATGCATCCAGGCTTCTTTTCTCTTGCTGAGTAGTACTCCATTGGAATCATGAACCTCATTTTGTTTATCCATTCATCTGTTGATGGGCATTTAGATGCTTTATACCTTTTGGTTATTACTAACAGTGCTGCAGTGAACATTGGCATATAATTCTCTAGTTAAGCGTCTGCTTTTGAGTCTTTTGTGTAAATAGCTAGGAGTGGAATTGCTGGGTCATATGGTAGTTCTTTTTTCAGTTTGGTGAGGAACTGCTCCATTGTGTTCCACAATAGCTATACCGTTTTGCATACCCACCAGCAATGGATAGAGGGTCCAGGTTCCCCACCTCCTCTCCGACATTTGTTACTTTCTGTGTATTTTGTTTTCCTTAGCCATTTTGTTGTTGTTGTTAGGTGCCGTCGAGTTGCTACCGACTCATAGCGACCCTATGCACAACAAAATGAAACACTGCCTGATCCTGGACCAACCTCACAGTTGTTGCTACGTTTGAGCCCATTGATGCTGCCACTTTGCCAATCATTCTTGTTGGGGGTCTTCTTTTTCTCTGACACCTCACCTTACCAAACGTGTTATCTTTCTCCAGCGACTGGTCCCTCCTGACAATATGTCCGAAGTATGAGAGACGAAAGTTGGCCATTCTGGCCTCTAAGGAGCATTCTGACTGCACTTCTTCCACCACAGATCTATTGGTTCTTTTGGCAGCCCATGGCACTTTCAATATTCTTCTCCAACACCATAACTCTAAAGCATCAGTTCTTCTGCTGTTTTCCTTATTCACTTTCCAACTTTTGCAGACATATGAGGTTATTGAAAATATCATGGTTTGGGTCAGGCGCACCTTAGTCCTCAAGCTGACATCTTTGCACTTCAACACTTTAAAAATGTCTTGTGCAGTGGATTTGCCTAATGTAATATGTCCTTTGATATTTGACTGCTGCTTCCATGAGTGTTGCTGGTTGATCCAAGAAGAATGAAGCCCTTAACAACTTCAGTCTTTTCTCCATTGATAACAATGTTGTTTATTGGTCCAGTGGTGAGGATTTTTGTTTTCTTGACATTGAGATGTAATCCATACCGAAGGCTGTGCTCTTTGATCTTCATCAGGAAATGTTTTAAGTCCTTTTCACTTTCAGCAGGCAAGATTGTATCGTCTACATATCGCAGGTTGTTAATGATTCTTCCTCCAATCTGATGCCAGGTTTTTCTTCATATAACCCAGCTTCTCGGATGATTTGTTCAGCATACAGGTTGAATAAGTATGGTGAAAGAATACAACCTTGTCGCACACCTTTCTTAATTTTAAACAATTCAGTGTTCCCATGTTCTATTTGAACAGCTGCCTCTTGGTCCATGTACAGATTCCTCATGAACACAATTAAGTATTCCGGAATACTCATACTTCGCAATGTTGTCCATAGCTTGTCATGATCCACACAATTGAAAGCCTTTGTGTGGTTAATAAAACACAGGCAAACATCTTTCTGGTATTCTCTGCTTTCAGCCAAGATCCATTGGACATCAATGATATAACTCATTTCACGACCTCATTCTGTATTAGCTTTACTATGTGTGTGTGTGTGTGTGTATATATATAAAACTTCACTCGCATTGGATTTCAAATATAATGTCAGAAGATTTCCGCATTCCGTTGGGTCACGTCTTTGGAATGGGCACAAATAGGGATGTCTTCCAATCAATCGGCCAGGTAGTTGTCTTTCCGTTTTCTTGGCATAGATGAGTGAGTGCGTCCAGTGCCGTCTCACTTTCTTGAAAGATTTCAGTTTTTATTCCATCAGTTCCTGGTGCCTTGTTCTTTCCCATGTCCTTCAGTGTACCTTGGACTTCCTCCTTCAGTATCATTGGCTGTTGATCATATGCTATCTCTTGAAACGGTTGAACATCAACCATTTCCTTTTGGTACAGTGACTCTGTATTCCTTCCATCTTCTCTTGATGCTTTCTGCATCATTCAATTATTTGCCCAGTTGCTGTTGTTAAGTGCCGTTGAGTTGATTCCAACCCATAGCGACCCTGCATAGGATTTCCAAGGAGCAGCTGGTGAGCTTGAACCGCCATCCTTGCAGTTCAAACAGCTTTGCAGTCTGGCGCATTAACCCACAGTGCCACACCAGGAGTCCTGCTTGCCCAGAGAATCCTTCAATAACGAAAGTTGAGGCTTGAATTTTTTCTTTTGTTCTCCTAGCTTGAGTTATGCTGAGCCTGTTCTTCCTTTTTGGTTTTCTGACTCCAAATCTTTGCACATTTTGTTGTAATATTTGACTTTGTCTTCTTGAGTTGACCTTTGAAATTTTCTGTTCAGCTCTTGTACCTCCTCATTTCTTCCTTCTGCTTTAACATCTCTACTCTGGAGAGCAAGTTTCAGTGTCTCTTCTGACATACATTTTGATCTTTTCCTTCTTTCTTGTCTTAATGACTTTTTGCTTTCTTCCTGTATGATGTTCTTGATGCCATCTCACAACTCTTCTGGTCTTTGTTCTTTAGTGTTTAATCTATCAAATCTGTTCTTCAGATGATCTCTAAATTCAGGTGGGATATATTCAAGGTCATATTTTGGTTCTCGTGGAGTTGTTTTCATTTTCTTCAGCTTCCGTTTGAATTTGCATATGAGTAATTGATGCTCTGTTCTATGATCTGCCCTGGCCTTGTTTTGACTGATGATGTGTCTTCTTTGAAATGTCTATTCAAGTCCTTTGCCTCTTTTATGATTGGATTGTTTTTTGTTAAGTTGTCAAAGTTTTAGCTATGTCTTGGTTATTAGATTCTTGTCAAATATATGGTTCCAAATATAGTTTCCCAGTTGGTATCTTGTCTTTTCAGTTGTTTGGTAAAATCTTTTGATGAACAAAAAGTTTTTCATTATGAAGTCCCATTTATTTATTTTGTCTTTTGTGGGGAAAGCTCACAGTCTTTCTCCATTGAGTATAAAATATTGGCTGTTGGTTTTTCATATGTGCCCTGAATCACATTTCAGTCTTCTTGAGGGTCTTTATCAAGAAAAGGTGCTGGGATTTATCAAATGTTTTTTCTGCATCTATAGGGATGCTTAGGTGGTTCATTTCCTTTGTTTTTGAGGTGGTATGTGACCCTGTTGAACTACCCCTGACTCCTGGAATAAATCCAGTGTTGTCGTGGTGCATATGCTGTTGGATTCTCTTTGCTAGTATTTTGTTGAGGAATTCTGCCTCTATCATAAGAGAGTGGCCTGTAGTTTTCTTTTCTTGTGGTACCTTTGGTTTTGACAGACTTCACAGACTAGATTAGCGAGTATTCCTGCCTTCTCTATCTTTTGGAAAAGTTCAATAGGATTGGTGTCAGTTCTTCTCTTAAATGTTGTTGAATTCCCCGGTGAAACCATCTGGTTCAGGACACTGTTGTTGTTGGAGGGGTGATTTTGATCACTGGTCCAGTGTCTTCTCTTGTTACGGGTTTGTAAGGACAGTTTTCTCTGAGTCAGTGTATGTAAGTTGTGTGTTGCTTTGCCCACTTCAACCAGATCATCCAGTTTGTTGTTACACGTGTCAGTTCAGAATATTCGCTCAGAATTCTCTTTATATCAGGTCAGTTGTAACTCTCACTCATTTTTTGTTTTGGTTATGTTTTTTCTGTTTCCTATTTTATTTATTTCTGCTCTGATCTTTGTTATATCTTTTCTTTATGGTAGAATTAGGCTTGGTTTGTTCTTCTCTTTCTAGTTCTTGATGTTGTCAACTTAGGTTGTTAATTTGAGATAGTCTTTTTTTTTTTTTTTTAATATATAAGCATTTATTGCTGTAACTTTCCCTCTGGGTACTCCTTTGCTGCATCCCATAAATTTTGGTATGTTGCCCCTTCATTTTTGTTTGACTCTAGGAAATTTGTAATTTCTTCCTTGACTTATTGGTGATTTAATAGTGTGTTGTTCAATGTCCTTAAGTTTGTATATTTTACAGGCTTTTTTCTGTTGTTGTTGTCTAACTTTATTCCATTGTGGTCAGAGAAGATACTTTGTATGATTTCAATCTTTTTCAGTTTATCATGCTTGCTTTGTGACCTCATAAGTGGTCTAGCATGGAGAATGACCCATGTGCACTCACGTATCCTGGTTATCATGCTCTTTGTGGGTGGCGTGTTTTATGTTTGCCTTTTAAGTCTAGTTGGTTTATAGTGTCCTCCATGTCTTCTGTTTCCTTGTTGATCTTTTTTTCTAGATGTCCACTATTGAAAGTGGTGTACTGAAGTCTCCAACTCTTACTGTTGTTGTTGTCTAGTAGTGTTGAGTCAGTTACAACTCATAGCTACCCTGTATAAGGTTTCTGAGGAGCGATTGGTAGGTTTAAACTGCTAATCTTGTGGTTAGTGTTCAGAACTTATCCTCCAATGCCATAATAGGACCACGACTCTTACTATATAGTACTATCTATTTTTCTCTTTAATTTTGTTGTCTCTAGTGCGGTATCTATCTTGTTTGAATGTTCCTGTAGTGCTTTTTTGAATTTTTCCTGTATTCCTTGACCTTTCTTTGAAACATTTGGATGTACCTCAACATCATGCTCCTGAATTCTTTTTCAGATAGTTCCAGTGTGTTTTCTTTGTCAAAAGTATTTTCTAGCTCTTCCTCTTGATCGTTTGTTTGAGCTACTCTGTCTTGTTTGTATGTGTGAACACAAATTTTCTCCTTTTTAGGCATTGTGGTAGTGTTATATTTGTATTAAGTTGATGAATGTATGTTGGTGTATTC